CTTGCGCAAGTTCTTACTTCTCTAAGCCTCAGTTTCTCCTTTTGTAAAATGGAGTTAACAACAGTATCTCCTTCACAGGGTTGTGGTAAGAATTAAATGAGTTAACATATACAAAGTTTTAGAACATAATCTGAATTCACACTGGTCTCAAGTTGATTCTGACTCATAACAGCTCTATAGGGCAGAGTAGAACTGCCCCCACAGGGTTTCCAAGGCCGTAAATCTTTAAGGAAGCAGACTGACATATCTTTCTGCCAGAGCAGCTGGTGGATTCCAACCTCTGACCTTTTGGTTAGCAGCTGATGCTTTTAACCACTGTACCACTAAGGCTTCTTTTTTAGAACCATGACTAGCACATAATATCATAATAAATGAGGGGAGAATATAGGTGCCTCATGGAGATCTACAAGGAGAGCCAAGAAGAATGCTAGAAAAACTGAGATAATGCTTTCCCCCAAAGTGGGTGGAGAAAGCCTTGGCTAGCACTGGGCCCTGAATTCAGATCTCTAGCCTCCTAAACTGTGAGAAAATAAATTTCTGTTCCTTAAAGCCACCCACTTGTGATATTTCTGTTATTGTAGGTCTAAGAATTAAGAAAACATGGAATCACAAAATCCATATGACATACCAGTTGCTTCTGTCCAATTTGACAGTGTTTCTCAGGAGAATTTTCACCTGTGTTTCCCTCTTGAGTGGAATTGTTTTTCTCTGATTTTTCACTCATTTCTGATCACTAAAAAAGTAATTGAAAAAAAGTAAAGTACATTCATATTGTATACTTCCAGAAAATTTATTCTGTGATTCTTTCCTACTCTCTCACCTTGTTCCATTTTCCTTCAAAACTAGATTTCCAGAAAGATCTATCTGAGCTTCTGGCTTCTGTTCTTACCACTCACTCTTTCTTTAGTCCTGCATCTGACTCCCTCAGACTATGCTACTGACACTCTCAGCCAGGAGTTCCACCAGCAGATGGATTGTACCTTTAACAGTTCTTAGCGTCATAGGTCTCTCTGGAGCAGCAATACTGAAACCATCTTCTTCTATGAATTCTTCATCCTCTATTCGTCCCCCTTTACACTTATCCTCTTGGAAAACAAAAAGACACACTAATGTCATACATCCCCAGTAACTCTGTGAAAATCTTACCAACTACCATGGTTTCAGTTGTTACCTGTTTAAAGACCATTCATTTCCAAGTCAACCTCTATACACCCTGACCTCCTCACTCAATTTTTCAAACAAATTTCTAGTCAGCTTGTGAAAATGGAACTCATCAGTTTTCTATTTTAGAAAAAAAA